AATGCAGAGAATCTCTCTCACTCTCTTTTCTTCTACAAATTATTCTAAACCTAGAACAAACACTGGCTCTTCTTGGAAACTTTCCAGCACATCCACTTTTCTTCAGTGTTCTTTTTTGACTAATGATATTTTATTCTACACTTAAAATGCTTATTCACCTATATAAATTGTTTTTCACAATATGATTTTAATTTCCTTGAAGGAATAGATCATGTTTTAGATTTCTGAGCCATTTTCTTCCCTTTCTGCTCTTCAGATTTTCTTAAACCAATTGGCAAGGCTGGGATGATAAGTGGACTTGCTGATAGGCATTTGGACAGAAGCTAGACATGAGATTGAAATGGGTCAGTCACTAGGTAAAAATTCTTCAGTCCTGAATTCACCAAAAAATCCAAAAATAAGAGCACTATCATATATAGTTAGTACCTCTTTTTGGCAGATGTCTTCAAAAAAATAAAAAGAGGTGAAATGACATGCAAAAGAGAAAACCAAGATGACGTATAGGGGAAAATATAAGTGCTAAGGTATAAGTGTACACTTCTTACATTAAAAGTCAAAAGTAATACTATAGAACAGCCATGACATTTTTGACTATTGTATTTAAATTTTAAAAGAGACTTAATTAACAAATACATATCTAGTGGAGTTCAATAGAATGTTTCAAATAATATTCAAGATATGTTTTTAGCATACTATATTTAATGAATAGAAACTTTTTGTAGTCATTTTTCAGCATCTTGAATTTAATGTTTTCCTTTCTGCTGTGAGGAAGTTATCGTAGAACACTCTTCACTTTCCCCATCAAGTTTCTATCTGCTCATCCTGTGTTTCTTAGCTTAACTGTCTTTTTCTTCAGGAACCTCTCAACCTTCCTACTAAATTGGTCAAATTCCTTTGCTGACCTCTTTTTTATTTCTATATCTCATCTTCATAGCACTTGTCACAATATCAAATTTGCGTTTATATGTATGATTCCTTCCTCATTAATTATCAAGGAAGATTTATGTAGAGTTGGTTTTAAAACTACCTTAACTGTTTGGTAGAATTTACTAGGGAATCCATCAGGGCATGAAACTTTCCTTGTGAGAAGATTTTTAATGACAAATTCAATTTATTTAATACATAGTCTGTTTCTTATTGGGTGAATTTTGGTAGTTCATGTCTTTCAAAAAATTTGTACATGTATCTATTTTTACATTTATAGGCATAAAGCTATTCATATTATTTTCTTATTATCCTTTTAGAATCTATAAAATGTGTAGTTATGTGTCCCCACAACTTAAGCCTAATATTGGTATATATCTTCTCTCTCTTTATTATGATCTGTCTACTTTTTTAAAATTTTCTTTCTTCTGCTTATTTGGGTTTAATTTGTTCTTCTTTCTCTAGTTTCTTAAAATAGGAATTAAGGTCATTATCTTAAGACATTTCTTCACTTAAACATAGACATTTAGTTTTGTAAATTCCAAGTGATAGTCCAAAAAATCTAATTGTGCATTTATTTGTATTCATTTCAAAATATTTTCTAATTTCCTTTCTTATTTCTTCCTTGATTCCTGGATTATTTGGAAGTGTGTTCTTTAGATTTCTTCTTGTGCCTGTACCAATGTTTCCTCATGTTATTTGAAGCCTAAATGTTTTCAATTACTATGTCATGCTGACTGATTTCTTTCTTTATAAAATGACCATCTTCATCCTAGATAATATTCTTTGCTCTGAAACTTACTGTGTCTGAAATAAATATAGCTACTTCTCCTTTCATTTGACATGTATTAGCATAGTGTATCTTATTCTGTCCTTTTACTTTAACATACTTGTCCACATATGTATATGATATTTATGTGTATGTACAAGTGTATGTATAGTGTGTGTAATATAAGCAGCATATAATTGAGCCATGCTTTATTATGCAAACATTTCTGACTTCAGACAGGATTGTTCAGAACATTTACCTTAAATGTGGTTGTTGATCACCTCTGTCAAACTATGTAATCTTGCCATTTGTTTTCCAAAGACCTGTTGTTGGTTTTTAATTTTATTATGGTACAAAAGCATTTTTTACATACCTCATTTGTTCATTGTTCTTTTTTGTTTTGAGCTTTTTTTATTTGTTCTGGTTGCTTTTTGTTGTTGTTGTTTTGGTTTTTTAGGTTTTTGTCTTTTGGGCCTTTGGGGTTATTTCTTATTGGCTATAGCTACTTTGTTTTGCTGCTTTAATGGTTGCATTAAATAGCAACCATTACAGTAAAATAGCAACTGATTACAGCCTATGTCTAAATGACATACTCCACAATACACTTATTATTTTTGTTTCAACAGTTGGTTGTCAATGACATTAAAATAATAAGAACAATTTTTTATATATTTATCTATACAATTACTGTTTTTAATGTTCTTCATTTGTTTATGAAGCTCCATATTTTCATTTGGTATAATTTATTTTCTGCCTAAACAGTATCTGTTTAAATTATTTCGGCTTTTGTATGTTTAAAAATGCTCCTTTTTTAACAAACAGGGTTTCACTTTGTTTTCCAGTCTAGCCCCGAATTCTTGAGCTCAAGCATCCCTCCTGCCTTGGCCACCCAAGTGGCTGGGACTACAGACATCAGCTTCCATGCTTCATTTTTGAAGGATTTACTTCTCTTGATATAGCATTCTAGACTGACAGGGTGGTTGTTTTTTTTTTCCCCCTTCTCCTTTTAGTCTTTCTCCACTGTTGCCTTATTGTATTGTTCCAATGAGAAATCTGCTGTTATTTGTGTTTTCTGTATATAATGTATAAATTATCTGTATAAATCTGCTATTATCTGTATATAATGTAGCTTTTCCTTTGACTTCTTTATATGTTTTCTCTTTATCGTTTTCAATAATTCAATTGTGATGAATTTTAATTACTATAGTTTTCTTCATTTGTTGTTGATTGGGGTTCATTGAACTTATTGAGTCTATTATCTCATAGTTTACATTGAACTGGAAACTATCCAGCCGTTACTTCTTTTTTGTGTGTGCATTTCTTCCCATAATATGCCTTAGGACACTTGAAGTTGTCTCACTCCTCATAATGCTGTTTATTTTTTTAATTCTTTTTTCTCTCTGTTTCACTTTTAATAGTTTCTTTTGATGTCTTTAAGTTCACTGTTTTCTTTAATGTGTATTCATCCATTAATAAAGTACAGTGCATTTTTTCATTTCAAATATTATAATTTTTATTTCGAGATATTGAAGTTTGAGTAGTTGTCTCTTGAATATATACAATACAGTTGGCATAACAGTTCAGTGTCCTTGACTGCTAATTCTAAGATCTGTGCCAGTTCTAGGTTAGTTTCCATTGATTGATTATTCTCCTCACTACTGATCCTGTTTTCCTGCTTTTTTGCATCGCTGGTAACCATTAATTGGATGCCATACATTGTAAATTTCACCTTCTTGAGTGAAGTGTGTGTGTCTGTATTCCTATAAATTGTCCTGAGCTTTATTCTGGAATGTGGTTAAATTTCTTGGAAGCATTTGATCCTTTAGTTCTTGCTCTTATAATTTGTTAGGCAAGTCCCAAGTAGTAATCATTGTAGAGCTAATTATTCCCCAGTCCTTAGGCAAGATCGTCTCCACCTTATACCCTGTGAATTATGAGTGTCTTTGGTCAGTGTGGTGGGAACAGGCATTATTCATGACACTGAGTGCTGGACACTGTTCCCTGTAATTGGTTTGCATGATTCTTTTTCTAGCTTTGTGTGGTTTTTTTACTGTTTAGTACACCTCTGAATGTATGGTTGACCCCCTGCAGATCTTTGGCATTTATGTGCATATTCATTTCCTCTTTTCTCCCTTGCCAGCTAAGGCCACTCCCTCTCCCTCTCCTTTAGTACACTGTAATGCATATTTTATCCACTTGGACATTCAGCTGCATCTCTTTAATTTGGGGAGTCCTCCAAATTCTTTTGGATTCCTCTTCTGTGCACCATTTCCTGAAAAAACTCCATGTAGTATTCTGGGGCAATATTAGAGCTTACCTAGTTTGTTTTCTCTATCTCAAGGGCCACTGTTTTGCATAGCTACCCCTATCTTCAATGCCTTGAAGGTCACTGTTTCATGTGTTTTATGTTTTCTTTTGTTTGTGTATAGGGGGGATGCAGTTGCTAGGGAAGAGTAAATCCTGTCCCTATTAATCATTCAAAGAATTATATACATTATAATTGTAATTATACCAAAGAATTATATACATTAACACATCCAATTAATGTTATTGTAGATGTAGGACTTTCATATCAACAGCAGCAGGCTGAATCTCAACTACATATTTGGAAGAATAAGAGCTTTCTTTCACACACTAATAAAGTAGAGCAGTGTAAGCATAATATTTTTTCAAGAAAAACTGGATTGTAATCCAATAGATACAATAAATTTTAAGTTAATGAACATACTTTCCACCCTTTCCTCAACTTACCACTTTTAATTTTGTCTTTTTCTCCAGCCGTGCCTTACCTTATTTCTTCAACTTATTCTCCAGATCTTAACTTACACATCGCTTAAAAAAAAAAAAAAAAAAAACCTTTTCCTGACCCTCTAAAATAAGTAGATTCCCCAAACTGAATGTCCTTTCAGCACTCTGAATGTAGCGTATCATAATATTCATTATACTTTTTAGAAGTTGTTTGCCTGTTTTCCCTGATGGGTTCACAGTTTCTTGTTCATGGCTGTGACCTCACCATAATTATAATGTGTAATGCCTAGTAAGTCCTCTATTATTTTTGTTAACTGTTAAATACAAAAGAGCACTCCTGAAGTTCAGAAATATTGTACATTACTAGCTTTTGCTTTATATTTATTATAGTAATGAACAAAGCATAATTCTAAAGGATATGGTTATTTATGGTTTCTTTAAACTATGTTTAAAAGTAGGTAAAGCTGAAGAGTGCATTAATTATTATGATGTTGATATAAGAGACATATATATATGTATGTGTGTATATATATATGGATTTGTTTGTTTTGCTTTACAGGATGCAGAAGAATACACAGATTTGCCAGTAAGACACAATGAAGATCATATGAACAGTGAATTGGCAAAATGTCTTCCTGTTGAATTAAATCCCCATTCATTTGACAGCCCTCACACCAAAGCCCATCTCCTGCTTCAGGCGCACCTCAGTCGAGCCATGCTGCCCTGCCCAGATTATGACACTGACACCAAAACAGTCTTGGACCAAGCTCTCAGAGTATGTCAGGTATGAATGTCATTTAATATCTACATTTTCTTCTATCATTTTTGCCCTTTTTTGCCTGTTTTATGATAAAATGTGCTTGTGTTTAAAAATGTTTACTTAACATTGTTGAAAAACAGATGGTGGTGAATCAAATCAAGAATTTTCAAAGGTAAAGCAGATAGAAGTACATTCAGATAACAGTTTCCAACATCCATTCAGCTGTAATCTGTTAAAGGCAAGAACTTTTCTATGCACTGAGCATATCATAATTTACAAAACAGAGAAAAAGAGTCTCTGCTCCTGTAAATTTTCACTCAAGATGGAGAAGACTGGCCATTAAAAATATAAGTCAAGATGGGCACTGTGGTATATGCCTACAATCCTAACAACTCAAGAGGTTGAGGCAGGAAGATCACAAGTTGAAGGCCGGCCCAAGAAACTTAGGGGATGTAGCTCAGTGATAAAGAACTTATCTAACATGCTTGGGGCCTTGGGTTCAATGCCCAGTAGCACAAGGGAAAAAAAATTACATATGTATATGGAGAAAGAGTTTTAGATAGATAGGTGATGTATATGTATGTGTATCTCTATCTCACAGTGAAGAGAATATAGAGAAAGATGGAGAGTTCCATTTTGTACTGTTTTTTCATATGATATGTAAGGACTGGCTCACTAGTAAGATGACATTTAAGATAAGAATTAAAGGAAGAGAGAGAGCCCTGGGGCTTCTGGAAAGCTRTATTACAAACACTGGGAGAAGCAAGTGCCAAGTCTCTTGTGTAGAAGTTACTTGGTATATTCAAGGAACATCAGAGAGACCACTGTAAAAAAGAGAGAGAAAGATGGTTAAAAATGAGGTCTGAGAGTATTAGGAGTACAAATTATAGAGGAAATGGAATCAAAGATGATTCCAGGGCTTTTCTACATTTTACAAGCAAACGTTAAAGTTCCTAAGTTTTAGCTATGGTGCTTGGTGTTCATTTGTATTTCTTGTAACTCCCCATACCTATGCAAACATTGACTTGTTAATGAACTCAGGGGTCAGAAATGCAGATCACATAGGGAGTTTATGAACCACGATAGGGATTTTAGAGTTTACTTTGAATGAAAGGGAATCCATTAGAGCATTGGCTCACTTGGGTTGTTAGTTATACCTATCAGTATTTCCCATAGTAGTTGAAACTGAGAAATTCTCAATTATTTATTCCTTCACTTGAAGATAACAATTAGGTTCATCATATGTTAACATAAATGTGATTTTTCATTAAAAATAACTGTGTTTGTAGGCAACAAAAAAATTAGTGAGAATTATGGAATTGTTTTATTCTTTGTAGATAACTTTAATAAAAGTCAACTGATTGATTTACCTTCTCTTGTCAACACAAAGTTCTATTACAAGATGTTATTTTACTTGAAGTATATGAAGAAAACTTGGCCTCACAGCAATACATAATTGTAAAAGCAAAGAATATTTTCATAGCCTTTTCAGAAAATTGTGAATATTCTTCTTTGATACTACCCAAAAACTTGATGAGTTTTATTTCTTGAAGTTTACCTGCAATGTGGAATCTGAAGCCATATCAATGAAATTTTCATACCTTCAATGCTCTTAGACTAGGCAAGAAATGATGGTGTTTATTCCAGATTAATATGGGTGAAACTGATGAGAATTGGTTGTATCCTTTTAAGGAGGACTAATAGACTCTGCTAATCAATAGGACAAAGGTTTTTAAAAGAAGTGAGAAACCAAAGATGATTCCAGGGCTTTTCTCCAGAAGAGCTAGAAGGAAGAAGCTGCTGTATAATAGATGATGATTATGGGAGATATAGGTTAAGTGAGGGAAGCACACTGATAGGATTCATATTATGAAGATTTTGTTTTTATACATTATACTTTTTTGAACATTTCTGGAATAAATAATTTTTAGAATTTCCAAAAGCCTTCAGGTATTTTTAAAAGTACAGTAAGTCTATCTGTGAAGATATGTGTACAAGTATGTACATTATGGCACCATTTGCAAAATTTAAAGCTTAGAAATAACATAAGTGTCTTTCAGGTTATAGAACACTACAAAATGTTACAATTCCTTTTATAAATTCTACATCTATATGGAATGCCTCTATACGTATGTAAAGATATACCTGAGAGAAGATCCAGAAGGGTTCCACCAAAAGATTATGTTTTTCTTAAATATTTGAAGCTTTATACTGAGCCTCTAACAATTCTGCTACTTAAAAATAACAATTTCATTTTTAAAAATTGGAAAATAAATATAGAACAGTAAACACAAGGCATCAGAAATTAGAAGGGAAGTAAGACTGTAACACAAACCTTTTGACACACTTTTATAACTCACACATGGTTTATTTCTCTAGGAAGATGATTTACCATTCCTTATTAGTCACATCTTGCAAGCAAAGGTTAAAGTTCCTAAGTTTTAGCTATGGTGCTGGGTGCTCATTTGTATTTCTTATAACTCCCCATAATATGCAAACATTGACTTGTTAATGAACTCTGGGGTCAGAAATGCTTGGGGAAAAGGTGTAAGAGGAAGTAAATTGCATACTCACAGAAATATTGGTTTTGTATTATAATCTGTTATGTATTTTACATGCAAAAGTTATGATGCATAATCAATTGACACATTTCTTTCATCAGACAATAGTAATTCAAAGTCTTATCTAATAAAGCACACTCTAAAGAAATCTTTCTAAATTTACCATCAGATAGAATTCACTTAGGTACTTTTAAGCTCTGTAAGATATTTTTATGTATGGTTTCTTTGGTTGATACTTATATTTCTTAAATATTTTTGATACGTCTAAGTAACATCTCAGAGAATATTTTCCTCCTTAATCATAAGAGTCATACACTTTATTGTAGATGATTTGGAAAAGCAAATACTAATTCATTCATAATAATTATTCTTCCCCAGAAATATGAGTCTTTTTTTCTTTTTAATGAATTTTTAAATTTTGTTTTAAATTCAAACTTTTTATTTGTTCAAATTAGCTATACATGGCTAGAATACATTTTGATACATCATACATAAATGGAGTATAACTTCTCATTCTTCTGGTTGTAGAGTTATACTGGTCATGTAATCATGTATGCACATAGGATAATAATGTCCAATTCATCCTACTATCCTTTCTACCCCTATACTCTCTCCCCTCCCTTCATTCCCCTATATCTAATCCAAACTATCTCTGCTCTTCTCCAGTTACCCCACCTCCTTATTGTGAATTAGCATCCACATATAAGAGAAAACATTCAGCCTTTGGTTCTTTGGGATTGGCCTATTTCACTTAGCATGATGTTCTCAAGCTCTATCCATGTACCTGCAAATGCCATAATTTCATTCTTCTTGAAGGCTGTGTAATAGTCCAACATATATTCATATATGTGTGTGTGTATACACACACACACACACACACCACAGTTTCTTTACCATTCATTTGTTGAAGGGCATCTAGGTTGGTTCCACAGTTTAGCTATTGTGAATTTAGCTGCTATAAATATTGATGTGGCTGCATTACTGTAGTATGCGGATTTTAAATCCTTTGGGTATATAGATCAAGGAGTGAGATACCTGGGTGAAATAGCGGTTCCATTCTGAGTTTTCTGAGGTATCTCCATACTGCTTTCCATATTGGTTGCACCAATTTGCAGTCCCACCAGTAAAGTAAGAGTGTTCCTTTTCCCTCACATTCTTGCCAATATTTATTGTTGTTTATATTCTTGATAGTTGCCACTATGACTAGAGTTAGATGGAATATCAGTGTAGTTTTGATTTGCATTTCTCTGATTGCTAGAGATGTTGTACATTTTTTCATATATTTGTTGATCAGCTGTATTTGTTCTTCTGTGAAGTGTCTGTTCTGTTCCTTAGATCAGTATCTGTTGATTGGATTATTTGGTGTGTGTTTTGTTAAGTTTTAAGTTCTTTATATATCCTGGAAATTGATATTCTGTCTGAGGTGCATACGGTAAAGATGTTCTCACATTCTGCAGGCTCTCTTTTCATGTTACTGATTGTTTCATTTGCTATGTAGAAACTTTTTAGTTTGATGACATCCCATTTATTGACTCTTGATTTTACTTCTTGCACTTTATGAGTCTTGTTAAGGAAGTCAGTTCCTAACACAACATGGTGGAGATTTTGGCCTACTTTTTCTACTATTAGGCCCATGGTCTCTGTTCTAGTGCCTAAGTCCTTGTTCAACTTAAGTTTTGTTCAGGATGAGAGATAGGCATTTAATTTCATTTTATTACATATGGATCTCCAGATTTCCCAGCACCATTTGTCRAAGAGGCTATCTTTTTTCCAAAATATGTTTTTGGTGCCTTTGTCTAGTATGAGATAACTGTATTTATGTGAGTTTGTCTCTGTGTCTTCTATTCTCTACCATTGGTCTACATATCTATTTTGGTGCCAATGCCATGCCATTTTTGTTACAATTACTCTGTAATATAGTTTAAGATCTGTTATTGTGCTGCCTTCTGCTTCACTCTTCTCACTAAGGATTGCTTTGGCTGTTCTGGGTCTCTTATTTTTCCAAATCAATTTCATGATTGCTTTTTCTGTTTCTGTGAATAATAGCATTGGACTTTTAATAGGAATCGCATTAAATCTGTTTAACACTTCTGGTAGTATGGCCATTTTAACAATGTTAATTCTGCCTATCCAAGAACATGGGAGATCTTTCTATCTTCTAAAATCTTTTTCAACTTCTTTCTTTAGTGTCCTATAATTTTCATTGTAAATGTCTTTCAGCTCTTTAGTGAGATTGAATCCCAGGTATTTTTTTAAGCTATTGTGAATGGGGTAGTTTTCATAATTTCTCTTTCAGTGTATTCATCACTGATGTATAGGAACGCATTTGATTTATGAATGTTAATTTTATATCCTGCTATTTAGCTGAATTCATTTATTATTCTAGATGTTTTCTGGTGGAATTTTTGGAGTCTTCTAAATATAGAATCATGTTATCTGCAAATACTGATAGTTTTGAGTTCT